TGATGTAATTTTGACTATTTTAAAAGTCCTATTTTAAAAAAGCTTAGCACATGGACATAATCTTTGTGGGGTTATTAGTGGGTGTTCATTAAACTGCTTGGAAGAAGCAGGGGAAAGTTGGGTAGAGGCAGGGACAAGTCAAGTTCATGCAAATCTAGTGTTTTACGAGGTGACCTGCAACAGTGGAGTTTCCAGAGGCATTAAGGTTTTTCACGCTGTCATTAGCTCCAGTACAGATATTCAGTTGAGACAGTGTTTCATGGGTACATTTATCCTCATTCTCCAGGTTGGAAAACTGAGGCCTGTAAAGCATACATACCTAGATAATGAGCTTTAGAGTCATATTGACCTTCAGTCTGCATACTACTTTTGCTATTCATTGACAGGACAGTTTTGTTCAAATCTGCTCAGAGGCCCTGGCTGCTGTTCCATTAAATAGAAAAATAATTGCATCCACCTACCATCAGAGAGCAGAAGACCAAGAGGTTTAGTGGTAACTCAGAGCTGGTTGGTGTCTTTGAAGTAAGTGGTGTACATGAAGTAGGTTAAGTAAGTACCACTGGCATTTACTGGCTCCATGTTGAGTATATAAAGATGCTGGAAGGAAGACAGAACAAACAGGGAAAGGCTTTTTTGTACTCTTTAGTAACACAACATTTTGAACTTATGTTGATCATTTTGCAAATGGGGGTGAGGTATTCTACTGGCATTTTGTATCCACCATTTTGCTGCTCTTTAACTGCCAGAATTCAGTTTGACTACATAACAGAAAAAAAAAAACTTACTTTGTGAAATGAGTTAAGGGGTCATAGGTTGCCCATTAATAGTTTCATGCAGAGTATCTTACTTTCATCAACAGATGACTGATCCTCATTGAGAAATAAGTTACATGTGTCTAATTACAACTGTTATGACTGTTACAACTTATTCAGTTGTTGCTGACAGTGGGGTTCTTTCCAGATGGGGACTGTGGCCACTATGGACATTCTATTATGTGTATCCTGTTGTCATATTCCCATAGGGTGTACACTGAGAAGTGGAGCTGTCCGTGAGAGTTCATGGTGCTCCAGGTCACTGCCAGAATACTGTTCAGTTTTTGTCGATCTGGTAGGGTTTATCCTGACCTTTCATTATAGGATTTAGAATATCAGTATAGCAATGTTCCCTCATGTAATACATATTCCTCCTAAGTGTAATCTGCACTGGTCATACTATATTCTTTGTATGGCCATATAATTTATATAATTAGTCTTTTATTTTTTATAACTAATAAATCTTGCAATTGCCTCAGCCTTTCAGAATGATAAAATACTATGATGGATGATCTTTGTGTATAAATTTTCCTGTTTTGTCTTATTTTAGGACAAACTCCTAGGAGTGGAATTATTTGGTAGAAGTGTACAAGGAAAAAGGAATTTTTTTCCACATGGGAGTAAATGCCTTGAGAATGAAGTGAATTGAAGAGTGGTGGGAAAGGAAAACATTCTCGCTCTTCACTTCTGTGGGTTTGCAGGCTCTGAGGGGGTAGCAACAGTGTGGGCAGATCTGGAGGGGTCAAAGACTGAGCAGGGTCCAGAGCCAAACTAAAACTTGTCCAGGGACTTTTATTTTCTTTCTAATTCCATTGACATTTCTGAAGATGAAATACGGTACTAAAATGCATCTTCCTTAATAGAATACTTTCCAGGGTAGCAACATAAATCCCTGAACTCTCACTGGAAGGAGCAAAAGGTGTCACATGAAGACAGACTTTGGGTTTGAGTTTGTCTTCCAGTGACATTTATTGAGCTCTTATTTTTGTAAGTGCTTTATGTATGTTATAATCTTCAATAGCAGCATGAACAGGGAGGGTACCATGGTCATCTTCCGCTTACAGATGCTAGGACCGAAGCTTTATGGTCAGTGAGTAGCAGACCCAGGATCCAGTCAATGTATCTCTAGTAGCAAATTCGGCCTCCTGGGAACAGCCCAAGATTATTTATATAGGAATGCTTGAGTAATATAAAGAACAGATACTGGCAGAATTCAGGAAGAGAAAGGTGAAGGTGGGTGGGCCACAGTAAAGGAGAAGCTACGCCCTGTTCTATGGAACTGTGACATCAGCTGTTTAAAACAACATCCCCACATTTCATTTCCTACCATCCTTATCTTGCAAAGTAAGTTCATAAAACACAAAGTGAATTCATGAACACTATATCCCTAAGTATGTAGCTAGTTTATCCTTTAGATTCATTATGGAATTTATAAAAAAGACTTCTCCTGGGTTGAGAAGGGAGTTGACTAGAAGTCCCCAGAGAGTTGCTTTCTCTGTAGTTATGTGAAGTAGAAACCACAGCATTACAACTCCAGCTACACATTTAACTGAATGGAACATTCTGTGCAAAGTGCAAAGGAAAGTATTTTTCATCTGTTTTTCTAACATTGAGTGGACTTTTGGGAAATTGCAATAGTAGATAGCCAAGAGCCATCCACAGTCATCACATAGCTGAACTCTGCTTCTGAATGGCAGGGTCAAAGGGATAGAGATAATAGCACTGCGTTTGTGGACACCTGTGTGCATGTGATATAAACAAAGACTCAGGACAAGGCCACAGCCCCAAAGAAGTGAAGGTGATCTAGAGATGTGGAATTGTCTACTCCACCTTACAAAGTAAAATTTTACTAGACAATTCAGTTTGTAAGAACTCATTTTGAATCTGAACCAAATCTATGAGCTTTAACATATGCTTACATCCAAATCAGAACTTAATTATTTGTGCAATGTATAGAATTATTACTTTTTGCCAGGTGCCATACACAGCACTTGTGACTCAGGGATTCTGCCTTTAGCCCTCAACTCAACTTGTTCATAGTTGACCTAGGTTGAGACACAGCACACAATGTGGCCAGACACCCACAGCCTCTCCTTTACCCTGTATCTACAGCAGGCCCGCTTCTCTGATTTAGCAAGGAAGAACTTTGTTTTGTGGGTGGGAAATATCTCCAGAAAAATATTAATATATTAATCACTCCTACTTGGTCCTCTCCCTCCCAAAATTTAAAGTTTTTCATGTGGGGAAAAAATCATCACAATTGCATCTAACTTTAGAATACCTTTTGATTCCACATTTTGAGATTACTACAGGTTCAGCTCCAGTTGTAAGTAATAATATAGAATGATTATGTGCACCCTTTACCTAGTTTGCCCCTATGGTAGTATCTTGCAAAACTTTAGTATAAATACCGTATTACTTACTGTGTAAGTAATCTACTACCTATGCAGATTTCTCCAATTTTATTTATATAACTTTATAGAAGTTAAGATAGACTTATATCCCCCCTCGATCCCATGGTAAGATGAAAATATTGTAGGTCAAAAATGTATTTACTGCCAAACATCGTAGCTTAAGACACAGTATATTGTAGAGTGTGGGTATGATGTGATGGTATGGCTGGCATGGTGGCGTGGTACTCTCTGCTTCTGCCCAGCATAGCAAGGCAGTACTGAACTACATAGCCCAGGAAAAGATTACAATTGAAAACACAGTTTCTATTGAATATATATTACTTTTGTGTCTTGTAAAGTTTAAAAATCATAAGTTAAGCCATCCTATTTGTACCTCCCCCTCCCCCACCTTTGTCTCTCTCTTCCCCTGTCTATCTCTATCTCTGTCTCCCCCTACTGTGTGTGTGTTTCTCTGTCTTTTTATCACATGTATAAGTTCTATCCAGCATCACTCTCTAGATTCAGAATGGTTCCACCACCACAGGGTTTCTGACATGGCCCTTTGGTAACCACACCTGTCACCCATTCACAACTGTCCTTCCAGGTCCTCGCCACTAGCAACTACTCCTCTCTGTTTCTACCATGTTATCAATTCAAGGGTGATACATGAAGAAATCATGATGCATGTACCCTTTGGGGATTGGCTTTTTCACTCTACATAATTCCTTAGAGACTCACCCAAGCTGTTGCATAGCAATAGTTTGGTCTCTTATTATTGAGTGTGTTCCATAGTATGGATATTTATGCACCTGTTTGGACATCTGGGTTGTTTCCAGTTTTGCTGTTATCAATAAACCTGCTGTGGACATTTGTGTATTGGTATCTGTGTAAAAATGTTTTCTTTTCTCTGGGATAAATGTCCAAGAGTACAACTGCTAGGTCAGATGGTTTGGCATATTTTAGTTTTATGAAAAATTGCCAAGCTGCTGGATCTGGTGGTACAGACCTGTAACCCTCCTAAGGAGGCTGAGGCAAGGAGGACCACATGGTCAAGGCCTAGGCAACTTAACAAGAACTTGTCTCAAAAAATATAGAAAGGGGGCTGGAGATATAACTCAATGGTAGAATACTTGCCCAGCATGCATAAGACCCTAGGTTCAATCTCCAGTACCACGAAACAACAGAATGCAAGCAAATTAAACAACTGCCAACTTGCTTTACAAACTGCTCTCTATTTCTATTAGCAATGTATTAATTATCTAGTTTCTCCACATTCTTACCAGCATTTAGTGTCTGAAGTTTTATTTCAGCAGTTCTGATAATTGTGTAGTGACAACTGCCTATGATTTTAACTTACATTGTCCTTATAACTAATGATGTTGAACATATCAGCATGTGTTTATTTTGCATACATGTATCCTCTTCTGTGAAATTTCTATTTATGTCTTTTACCTATTCTATTTAGATTGCTAATTTTTATGGGTCAGTATGGAGAATTCTTCTATGTTATTTTGATCTTTTTGAGACAGGGTCTCCCTGTAGCCCCAAGTGGCCTGAACTTGATATATAAACCAGGCTGGCTTTGATCTCACAGAGATCTACCTGCTTCTGCAACTCACTATGTAGACCAGGCTGGCCTCGAGCCCACAAAGATCCGCCTGCCTCTGCCTCCCAAGTGCTGGGATTAAAAGCATGTGCCACCAGGCCCAGCCTGAGAATTCTTTTTTAAAATGATCAACTATTTATTCTTATAAGAAACTTTATTATTCAATACCATCATCACTGAGCTTGCCTGTATATCCTATTCCTTATGTGGATCCATAAATTCATACTGAACAATGAGCTCTGGGTTGCAAAGGCAGATTTGTTCTTATACCTGTCTTTTAGATATTTGTCTATCAGTTCAACAAAAGCACAAGTGCTACTACTTTTGAGAATTCTTAGTGCATTCTAGATATGTATCCTTGTTAGATATGTAATTTTACTAATATTTCCTCCATCTGTATATCATTTTTTTCATCTTCTTAACAAGGTCTTTCCCAAAGCAACAGTTTTAAACTTTGATGAGGTAAAATATACTTTTGTGTTTGTTAATGTAGGAGGGGGAGGGGGAGGTACAAATAGGATGGCTTAACTTAGGATTTTTAAACTTCACAAAGACACAAAAGCAATATATAGTCAGGGAAGGCAAATGTTGAAGACCAGTTCTCAGGAGCTTTGAAAGCTGTCTGTAGAATCTTCATGAAGTTGTTGTATTTTCTTTAAAAAGGGAGTTTTGAAAGGTGAGTATTAGCCTGCTGAGTTTTACTTGGGTCTTCCTACTTAGCCGTGTGTGTGTGTGTGTGTGTGTGTGTGTGTGTGTGTGTGTGTGTGTGATTTGTTAACAAGCTATTGCCAACTGAAAGTTTTGGGGCTTCTGTGCCAGATAATCGCTAATTGTAAATAAATAGCAGCAATCATTTCCTTACAGTCATACGGAATATACTATACTAGATATTAAATGTAAATGTAAAGTGTGGTCATTTGCAGTTGGCTAAATCCAGGTGGTTAAAATTAGATCTTGTTTGCAGTAGGTCATGGAGCCTCTGAGCCCCAATCTAAGCATTTTTCAAATTTTGCCTTCAGCTACCAGATATATAGCTGACCATCACGCATTCACTTCAAGGTAGTTGAATAAATTTTAAAATTCTAATTTATTCTTTCTTTTGCTCAATCTTTAAATCCTTAGGGAGAAAAAGCTCACTGTACTTTTAGTTTTATAAATCTCTTTCCCAAGGGGAACATCTCCCTCTGCAATTTAATTAAAATGGGAGATGAAAAGAAATGACATTTTCCTTTATAAGAGGTTTGTGTTTTCATTTCATCTATAAAATCAGACCTCAGGTATAACAAGACGGAGATACCGACACCCTAGGAAGTGAGGATCATGAGGAGACCATGTCCTGCCTTGGTCCTGCCTATGTCAAGATCATTACTGTCTTGTCATCTGAAATAAGTTTTTGGAGGAGGGTGTTTCTCAGACTAAATAGGATGTCTTTTCAGGAGGTACGACTCAATGAAACAATTGGAAATTCACAAACTTCAATAACGACCAAGTATCTGAAAATTATTTACATTCATTGTTCGGGGAAGTTTCATTGTCCTGTCCCTCTGAGGACATAAACCATCTTTTGCTTAACACCTTAGTTATTTCTTAAAATTCCACTATCTAGAAAAGGGGATATTGAATAACTGTTAAATTCATCCATTCATCCATCATCCACCATCCACTCAGGTCTTGATTACTGTGTTAAGGACTGTCAGGAACATACACACTTACCTAAAAAGTATAATCCTTTCCTTCAGGTAACCTAGAATTCAAGGAGGGGACTAGAAATTACCTCCTGAAATAGTTCAATAACATAAGATACTGTAACTTTCACATTTAAAATCAATACAGGTGATGATTAAATCATTCACAAGAGGACATGTGGTATAGCCTGACCATGAAGGCTGCGGCCAGTGGCCTGAGAAAATCAAAGCTCCCACTAGAATTCTCTGTCCACACTCCTATTTGGCTATCCACAGTTCCTGCAATGCTGCCTTCTCCTTGGCCTCTTTCTGCCCATACTCAGCATCCAGTGCCATATTACTTAGGATTCTTTGGGTTACAAGAGTCAGAAACAGTCTCTAAATGGCCTAAGCAGAGAGAGGAATTCAGGGTTCCATATTACTGACAAAGTCTAGGCTAATGTAGCGGAGACAATACCAAAATGGCAGCCAGCATTTGGTTCAGCCAGCCTCCCATCCCTGTCTGAACAGACCATGTCTGGCGCACCTAGACCAGGTGAATGCTATGATAGTGATTACATCAGATCTAGACTTGGCCCTATGAGATTTGAAAGTTTTGTTTTTGATTTCTTGGAATCTACCATGTAAAGGAATCCAACTATAGTCATACACAGAGGGGACTGGTGGAGGACAAAAGGCCCTATAATATTCAAACATTTTCATTAAAAATATGTAAGCATGGACTAGAGAGATGGCTCAGTGGTTAAGAGCACTGATTGCTCTCTTAGAGAATGCAGGTTCAATTCCTAGCACCCACATGGTGACTAACCACCGTCTGTAACTCCAGTTCCAGGGGGATCTGATGCCCTCTTCTGCCCTCCATGGGCATTGCAAGACAGAGGTGCACCTACCTACATGCCAGTAATACACTCATACACATAAAATAAAAATAATAAATAAAACATTTTAAAATATATAAACATATAAGCAAAAGGACAGAGGTTTGTCCAGTCCTGGCCACTCCAGCCACCCTCATTCTTACAGGTACTAATATGTGGCTAAGCCCCAGCACTGCCACATGGAGCAGAAGAAAGCCCCCTCCCTGGGAGGGCCGCCCAAACCTCAGAGTCCTGAACAAATGAATGGTCATTGTTGTTGTCACCCTGTCTCTTGTAGAGTGGTTTGTCATGCAGAACAGGTAACAGGGAAAGTTGCATCTAGTGCTCTAATAAGTCAGTAAGGAGCCTTTCTTTAGTTTATGGCTCTTCTTTCCCAGACAGGCTGACTGTACAGTAGCAAGGCTGTTGAGCATGGTAACAGGCTCATACTTGTCCCGCTTAGCAACACCTTCTAAAGATGCTGCTGTTCCCCTGCAAGAGCAAGTCTCAGGGGTGACTCTGATTGGTTCTGTTTAAGTCATGTGACCCCATGGAGTCTGCCTTACCTAAAGCACTTGGGTTAAAAACTTAGCCGTAGATCCCCAAAGAAAGTCTAGGTACTGTTTCCAGAATAAGGAACCAGATACTGGGCAGACAAAGCCAGCAAGTATATACTACAAAAGTCAGGCGGAATCCTGCCTTTTGCATGAAGCTTTACATCGTCTTTCCAAACTTTAAACCTGTTCCATTTTGGTGCTGAGCATATGCACACTTGTGTTTCTAACTTACTTATTTGCAGAAGTAATTTCTTATTCTGCACCCTACACGTAGCCCTTTGTATTCCTCATCCTTCTAACAAGCTGCATTTGTTACTTTAAAGCCATTCGATTTCTCAGGGCTTTTTGCAGAGAGAGGCATTTGTTGGTGCTATCAGAGACACAGAATTCTTACTGTGGGGGAAATTTGTGCTCCCCCTCCCTTTCTTCCTCTCTCCAGACATCTTTTTCTCTCCCTAACCATTGGCATTGCCTCCAAAGGAAGGGATGGTCTGTTTTCCCCTTGGGTCCTACTTCCCTAAAGGAGAGCCAGGTGGTGAGGAGCACTGTTGTGTTCTTTCTTTTCTGGGGAGCCTGCTCTTGTGCTATTTAATTTATATATTAAAAATTTATTTTGTATGAGTGCCCAGCAGAGCAGATTTTGGGCAACTAGCTTATAAAATAAATCTAAATGATCCCAAAAAAGTTTTCTTTCTTTTTTTTTTTAAAAAAAGAACATCTGTTAATTAAGATGTAAATAAAACCTGATAAAGCTTTGATTTATCCTTCTCATTAAGGGTCAGCATTCCAGGATGGAGTTCTAAGGAAAACTAAGCCAGAAACAAAAATGGAAATTAGATGGCTGTTGGAGCACTGATCAAAGCCCACCATGGTATATCAGAGACCTCACACCATACTGGCCTTGCTAAATGTACACACACACACACCTTTATAATGTATTTTCTATAGTTAGAAGTAGCTGGGGTGGGGGTGGGGGGTGGAATCTGATGGAAATGAGGAAAGAAATCCAGAGATGTGCTCTTTTAGATTTTCAGAAGAATCTTTGAAACAGTTGGCATAATAACGCAATAGTAACAGACTATCTCGCATTTATACCAAGCTTTATAATTTGCAAAAGTATCACTGGGCTTATTTATTTGACAGGTGTTCTTAGGCTTATTTACTTGAATTCCAAGATTAGGGATAAAACCATCACATTTATTGCCTTAATATTAAAAAAAATTTAAGGTTATTTTTGAAAGACTCTGTGTGTGTGTGTGTGTGTGTGTGTGTGTGTGTGTATGAATGAACATATACTCAGTATAGCAACAGTCATTTGTTAAAGAGGTGATAGTGTTGTACTGTCCCACTATTGAATCCATCTTCATCTCTCCATCAGAGATCCTACCCTGAAAATTGTATGTATCTTACTCTTGCTTTTCTTAATAATTTTCACTATAGCTTTGTTTTCCTAAAAAAATAAGCTGTTCATTTCCCTATATTTTAACTTTTATTTTTAGTCTCTGTATTTTAAAACTTTATATGACTCTTAATACCTGCAGTTTTCTGAGGCTTGCTTTTTTGTTTCCCAGGATTGTTTGTGAAATTCATTGATGCCAGTTTTTTTAAAGCTGGAGTTCAGTCTGTGGCTCATCTCACTTTATTTCTTTTCCTATACAGAGGTTTAAAGGTTTTAGTGTTACTGAATGTTTATGGTTTATGCTTTCTGTAACCTGCTTTTTATAACTTGAGATAAAAAATGACCTCACATTTTCCTCTCACAGTTTTTTCTCTATTTTGTCTTATCTTTTGAAAATGCTTTTTATATTTATTTATTTATTTTGTGTGTGTGTGCACACACACGCACACTCAAGAATGCGGGGGGGGCACACATGCCAAGGTGCATGTGTGGATATCAGAGGACAACTTGTGAGAATCTTCTACCACATGGGTCCCAGGGGGCCAACTCAGGCTGACAAGATTGGTGGCAAGCTTTTACCAGCAGAGTCCACATTTTTTTTTAATCTTATCTTATCTGGTATTGATTTTTCTGTATGCTGTGAGATAGAGATCTGTTTTCTCCTCCTAGGTGAAAAAGGCAAGTCATGTCACTTATTTCTTCAAAAATTTCCAAATCCTCTGTCTTCTTCAGAGTTAAACTCAAAGTTCTCAAAATGGCTTAAAAGGCCCTGTATGATCTGGTCCCCCGAAATGCCTCCTACCCCATCTCCTATAGCACATCCAGGGAACACTGTCCTCCTCCTTGTTCCTCCTAGAACACTCCCCAAATGTCCCTGCTGCAGAACTCTCACTCATCTGTCTGAAATTTTTAGATACCCCTCATTACTGTCCTTCTCACTTCTCAAGTGTCAGCTCAGGCATTGCTCCAATACAGAACCTTCCCTGGCCACCATAACTAAAATCATTCACACACACACACACACACACACACACACACACACACACACACATTTAGTATCTAGTCTCTGCTTTGGAAGAACTTATATGAAAATCTGAGCCTTGTGTAATCGTGTATGTGTGTTATTTTAAAAGTGTTTCTTGCTGGGCATGAGTTCCAGGACAGCTGGGGCTTACAGGAAGACCCTGCTTCAAAAAGACCCCCCCCCCAAAAAAAGTGTTTCTTTAGTTCCTTGAATGGCTTTAGATGACATTTTCTGATTCTTCTTTTTGTTTGTTTTTTGTTTTTTGAGACAAGGTCTCTCTGTAGTACCAGCTGGTCTGGAACTTGCTGTGTTGACCAGGTTGGCCTTGATCTCACAGAAATCTGACTCTGCCTCCTGAGTGCCTGAATTAAAGGCGTGTGCACCACACCTGTCTTTGACGCTTAAGTATTGGTAAGTTTACTCTGCTTTTTGCATAGTTCATAGAGGACCACAGTATACACATTTAAGATGCATACATAGTCAAAAATAAATCGGCCTCCTGTCTCTGTCTTCTAGCTACCTAGACTCCCTCCTGACTTCTGCTGTTTATTTCAGTAATTTCTTGCTCAGAAATAAGTTATGTATATATAAGCACACATACATATTGTTTTTCATAAATAGCACAATGCCATACATATTATTTTGACCTTGTTCTTTTTCCACTTAACTATATATGTTAAAAATAATTTTATAGCTATATTCAGAGGACCACCTCAGTCTGTTACACTTGCCTACACAGCTGGGTGAATGTGCCATGATTTATTTGATCTCCCTGTGAGTGACATTTGGGTTGTTCTCATTTTTCTGATGGTTGTCTAGCCAGTGTCCCTTACCTATCTTTAATCAATGCTTCACAGGGCTATCAGATAGACCTTAGATTTTCACTCTGATATTGTCAAGTCTCCACTCTGAACTCCAGCAGCTTCCAGTACCCACAGAACAAAGCCAAACTTGAAAGTACAGCCCCACAGCCTCCATTTTTCTGCCATAGCCTCCTGTGCCTGAAGACACCCCTACACCGATTGCCCTGAAGATCTCCAAATGTATCTTCCTATTTTCTTTCAGCCAGATATGGGAGAAACATCTCCTTTCCACCTGTCAAATCGCAGGACACTGTGGGTCTGTGAGGAACAGTGCTTTAAACCTACCAGCCCAGTCTCAGTGGTGCACCCTGCTAAACCAGACCAGATGAGAAGAATTTTGGTTTAGAAAACTGATATTTAATTGCTCACCAATCAGTCCTTTTTCTCCCAGTCTCCAAATTCCTGGTGGGCAGGAAATTCACTGGGACTGGAGAATGCTAAAATGAAAAGATCTGTGCGGACTTTAAAGTAGCTTACAACACAGTGCACACGTGCACAATTAAGACGCAGAACCCAGTGGAAATACGGCTCTATGGTTCATGGATTCCTAAGTGGGAAAGTCAGCTTAAAAAAAAAAAAATCTCGGGCGGTTAGCCCACAGTCCAGGTCCATGGAATCTGCCCAGTACGTGTGCCTGTTGAATGAGGAATATCCTAAAGGCAAGCCCTTAAGGCAAGCGTTCACTTCTGGCCTTTAAACCCATCTCTTATAACAAACACTCAAGTCAAGATTATCAGTGTGGCTGTGGCCCCTCGGTGGAGCAGTCGGGCGGAGTGGGCGCGCGTGGGATGGAGTTCAGGCGGGGGGAGGCGGAGCCGGGCACCTGGAGAGGGGTCTGGAGCGGCTTGGGGTGCAGGGGCGGGGAGAGGGAAGGGGCGGAGATTGCCGCCCGCCCGCCGCCTCCCCTGCCCAGGCGCCGGGCCGCGGGTGTTGGAGCAGCTGCAGCCGCCCGCGCCGCCCCCTCGGCCGCGGCTTGGGGCGAGCGGAGCGCGGCGGGCAGCTCGCCGCGCGCCGCCTTACGGAGCGGAGCGGCGGCCCGGGAGGCTGCAAAGTTCCCTGCGCGAGCGCAGACATGCCGGGCAGCGACACGGCGCTCACGGTGGACCGGACTTACTCGGACCCCGGCCGGCACCACCGCTGCAAAACCCGGGTGAGCTGCGCGGGCGGGCGCGGGCGGGAGGTTCATGCGCCGCACATCCGCTTCTCATCGCGCGGGCAGCTGGGCTCTGGGTGCGGACGGCGGGCAGGTCCCAGCGCAGCCTGAGGCCCCAGCAGCCGAGAGACCCGGAGCCTCGCCTGCCTCCCCGACGGCGCTCCGCGGTCGTCCCCACCAGGGAGCGCCCGCAGTCCGGGCGCCGAGGTCGCGTTCCCGGGGGCTGCCAGCCTCCGGGGCTCGGGGCTTTAGTGGGTCCCCAGCCATCCGGGCGGCAGCGGGCCCCGGCCGGGACGCGCTGCCCCGGTCGAAAGTCGGTCTCGCTCCGGAGTTCGGAGCCGCGCAGAGCGGGCGCCCTCGTCTTTGTTTGCTGTGTAATATGCTGTTGCTGATTTTGGCTGTGAGCGAAAATAGCTCTTCGGAGCGAGCTGCGGGGAGACGAGCCCTGGAGTGCTCCGGGCATCCGGGAGGCCGCAACCCGAGCCGGGCTCCTAGCGGAGGAAGCCTCGCCTGCTCCGGAACACCTTCACCTCCGGCCGCCGAAGCTAGTTCAGGCTGGATGTGAGGCTCCAAAATCCATTCTCTCCTGGCTGATTAAAGTGCCATTTGAAACAGCACCTCCTCCACACTGACATCGGCTCTGGCTGGAGATACCTGAAGTTGTTCTTGGAGCTGCCCCACTCCTGACTTGTCGGAGAACTGGGGATTAAGGTGTCAGCTTCCATGTATAAAGTTCACGGAGGTAGAGCAGGCTCTGTCCTGCCACTTCCGAGATACAGACACCAGCCAGATGGAACCTGTGGCCCTAAGTGACAGACGTGTCGGGTCTCTTGTGCACGTATTTGGGGGTGCAGCCATAATTTGAAGCAGTAATTAGTTGCCCCAGAAGTGTGAAGTTTACCTTTTTGCATTTTCCTTTATCTCCTCTTAAGAAAAGATTTACATTTTTAGAAATTGAATGTTTGGAATGATCTCTCCCGCCCCTACTCTTGTCCCTGTTTCCTTTTACTTTTGCACTTTGTTTAAAAGTTTCCTAACAATGTGTTGGAAAAATAACCAAAAAGCCCCATTTAGAAGAAAAACATTAAAGTGTTTGGGTTACCTACAGCCAGAAGGGTTTTTCTGGAGGGTGACCACTCATGAACACAATTCACTGAAGGGAAAGGCCTTTTTCTAAAGCATTTGTAATGGGGAGAGGGGTGTAAAGTTAATGCTACAGTTGACAGGAGAAATTTCAGGCTCAAAAAGATTGTGAGGGCCTGGATTCTCCTGTCAAAACTGATTTCTGTGTAAACAACAGGATTAGTAATCTTTGAGGGGGGGTTGGCTCATCTTGAGCTCATTAACAAAACTCATGGAGTGGAACTTTCTAAAATTTACTCTTTATCACCTATAAGGTGGAGGTAAGAGGGTTCCGCTGGGCTCAGCTCCGCAGCATAAAAGTGGTAAAATGTTAAACATGCAGCTCAACTGCAGACTTTAGGGTCTTCCTGTATCTGCCATTATTCCATCCATACCTGTTACTCGCTCTGAAAGTGTCAGGACCTTATGTGAACCAGATTTGTTTATTCTCTTTAAAATCCTGCTTGACATGTTGTACTTCCTACATTGTCGTCAGGGAGATACCTGATTTATAAGTGTCTGCTTATGTGGAGTAAAATTGAGGTAGCTGCAGTATATACCCGTATTACTCGAAATTAGCAACCTGTTGGGCAAAGGAGATCTAGTGAGGACTGGAAGAAATTGGAAAGGAGAGCTAGAGCTTGAGTAGACCCCACAGCACGGGTTACACGGATGAGACTTCTTGGCTATCTGCTTTTAGTTTTTTGTTGCTGTTGGTTTGAGGGTGTTTTCTAAAACAGTCTCCCTATGTAGCCCAGGCTGGCCTTAAACCCAGGATCCTCCTGCCTCAGCCTCCTGAGTCCTGGGATTACAAGTGTACACTGCCATGCCTGGCATTGCTTTTAGGATTTTTTGTTTTCTTTTATTAGTGTACTGTTGAGACATCAAGGAATCAGGAGAACTAATGGAATCTTTGTACGCTTGTAAGAACTTTTCTCTAGTGGGACTGGTGTCATTTTGCACCTCTCCTTAGGGCCGCAATAAGGCTGCTGTGATGAAGGCTAAGCAAACGCAATTTTCCTGTACAGAAAGTATTCATCCCATTAGATGACCTAGCTGCTGTTTTGTGGAACTCAATTAGATGTAGCTCTAAAAGCATTTCCCCCTCACACCCAGAAAAGGATGTGATGCAAAAAGAAAACATCAAATGGATTGGGGTGTAATTTCTTGGTGTTACTCTTTCTTTGGAAATAAACTAGGATTTAAAAAGAATCCCAGTAATCTCATTTGGCAAATTAGCTTTCCTAAAAAATGCTAATAACAACTGGGGTGGGGGTGCTTGTGAAAAGGTGAAGGACACCTTCTTGGTTAACAAATGGTACAGTTTTTTTTGTTGTTGTTTTGTTTTTATTTAAAGTTGATGCCCCTTCGAGGTAACGGAAAATACACATCTCTTTCACTGGGCTTGCTTAAGCCTTTGAGGCTAGACTGGTAATGAGGCAGCGGACTACTTTAATATTGCAGAAGTCTATTTTTACAACTAGGTAGACTAACCTAGATTTTTTTCCCCCTCAACAAAAATGTAACTGATGACTTCTCTGGTTGTCTTTAAGCTAAAAAGTCAGAATCATTCACAGTTTTAAACTTCATCTTTATAAAATTCAGAAATGGTGCTTGTTAACTTGACACACATAACATCTCTTTACTTTAAAAGAAAGAGCATACAAAATTAGAACCTGCTTTTTTTCCCTTATGCCCTAGATAATCAAAGAAAGCCTCTCATCTTGTTAAGAACACAGGCAGTTTTCCTTCTATACAGTAACTGGTTTTTGTTAATTATGTGAGTCAAATCTTTTTGTTAGGCAATTCTCATTTTAAATGTCCCATAATGCCACCTTCAGCCTTTTGGTTGCAGCTGTGAGCATCTCTTGCTTCAGGATCAGACATACTTCCCAACTGGATAATCACCAGAACAAGGTCCTAAAAAACCTTTCTGAACTTCTAGTTCCCAGTGTAGAGAAGGTGATGTCAGTCCATTCTTCATGGGATGACTGTATTTAATAAGAATGAGGGGTTTTCTGAAGGTTATGTGATTTATAATTCTGTTTTCATCTATATGGGAAGGGAAGTTTTCTTATTGAAATGATGTCACTGGTAATCAGAACTGCTGGGCATCCTCAGTCAGTGCCTACTCCCTCATATCTCTCTGTCAGTGAAACTTTCTTTGACATTTCTCTGGAATTGGTCCTTTTAGCCACTCCAGACCTTTACCGCTTCTATTTTATCACACCTGGGAGGAAGAGCTAGATTATTTTCCTTACAGACCTGCTTTCTTTAGGCTTCCCCCCAGAAGACAGGTCTTGCTGTAGTGTGGGTTGCTACTGTGTCACTCTGGACCCTATAATCATTCTATGTCTTAGTCTTTTCTACACAGTAGGGGTGTTACAAAGAATAAATGCAGTAATGTCTATAAAATGCCAGATGCATAATAAGATCCCAATGGATGGTAGAATTTATTTATATATTTATAATTCTATATTATAAGAAGAGTCCATAAGCTTGAAAACGGAAAGATTCCTAATTTTGTGAAGTGTCTTTTCTAGAATTTTGTGACTTGTTTCATTATGCATTTCTCATTACCCTGATTGCTTATGGGCTTGTTGTTTATGTTAATAAACTATAGCACTGACGTTTTGAGAGCAAGAAGCTTCACTTATTGTATAGATCCCCATTGAGCATCTTCTGTGTACCAGCTGTCATTGTAGTCACCAGGGAGAATGTGATAGTAAGTTGAACAGTCTAGTCTCACTGAAAACTTAATACCTGATGGGTCTATCTTACTTATATTTGTGGCCCAAGGTAATAGCCTTCTCTTTCGCAGAAAGAATTGGTTGTGATAAGTACAAAAGTATCTCACATCCAAAGTAAAACCCGTGTGGAGCCTGAAGGCCGCCTGTCACACACATCTTGAAGTGCTCTGCAGATTGGAAACGGATTCACAGTGGGTGATGAGTAATGGCCAGAGGCGGTTGGGGCAAGGAGAATGTGTAGCTCTCTCAACAGTGGAACTGGTTGGACAGCAGTGTAGTGAGTTCATTGCTTCTTCCTGACCAGGAAGTAGGGCAAGTTGAAACAGACTTTCATAGGTGACACTGACCTAGTGAGGTGGCAAACCGAGTAGTTTGCAAGGGCTGTTCTAATCAGTGATTTGTTTTATTCTAGAGTCCACAAAAGACTCTGGTTTTTCCTTCAGAGGAGAATAATTTGCCAGCCACAGCAGTACACACATGCCTTTCACATCCGCTGTAGAGAACATCAGGACAGCTGCTACCAACTTGAATCTCAGTGTGTTTTGCTTCAAACACTCTTTGAATTTCAGGGCTGAAACCAAGTGAGTCCCAGATGAAAATTGCCTGGCTTCTTAAGGAGAATCTGCCTGCATTCAGTCCTGCTGTTTCTTAATTGTGTTTCTGTGTTTTCAGTGGAGGAGGTGGTGAGAGAAAAGGGAGAGAAGCATGAATCACTGTACTGTGAATCAGAATCAGGACTTTTCACTCCTTATAAAAGGAAATCAGGATATATGATGTGTGTACAATCTAGCCATTGCATCATCTTGGAAGGGGCACTGCTTGAAGGAAGTACGTGTTGATGATTTTTCTTCAAGGAGGCAAAAAGACTATACATGAAAAGAATGTGGTCACAACAGCAGGCAGCGTGTTCCAGTTGCTTCGCAGACACCTGAAATAATAAACTAATAGGCACTTCAAATATAAGGTCTCCTTAATTCTCTAACTGAAGCCTGGTTCTTAACCACTTCCCTGGAGAGCAGCCTGGCTCTAATAAATATGTTGAGCAGTTCAGTCTTAGTAAACCAGTTGGATGCTTTGGGACAGATATGCACAACATCTGTAGAGTACCTACCCACTTGTTTGTTC